TCTCTCTCTCTCTCTCTCTCTCTCTCTCTCTCTCCCTCTCTTTTTTGTCCCCTTCTTCGTTTGGGATCGTTTAAATTTTTCTTGTTTTTTTTATTACGTTTGGATTGGGACCTGGTCCGCTACCTACCTACCTTATTCCCACAAGGTTCTCACCTCCAGCGTCGGAGCTTGGTGGTCCCGACTTGGCCGCGCCAGGGCTGGCCTCGTCTCGTATTGTGATTACCATTATGATTATTATTTCGTACTATTATCATTATTATTGTTCGCATCGTGATTAGTGTTATTTTGGGGCACCGACTCCCCTCGTATCGATCTTTATCATCTGTCGGCTCTGGGGAGCTTTGTTGTGTGTTGTTGTTGTTGTTTTTTTTCCTTCGCTTCTGTTCTCCTTCTTCTTCTTATCTCATCTTTACGTTTTTGTCGTGAGATGTCCGCCCGTTTTGGGGCATGTTTTCGTCCGGTCCTGCCCGTTCTTCCCGTTTTCCCGTTGCCCGTTCTTCCGTTTCTCGCGTTTTCTTTCCCCATCCCCCCCCTTTCCCCCCTGCTGGAGCCCGGCAGGGATTCTGAGGTGTGGACGTATTGTAGGTAGCGGTTGGAATGTGGGCTGATGTTGTGAAGAGGAAATGGAGGGGGGAAGGGGAGGGGTGGGGGAAATCTTACGATTTTAGGGATTTTGGTTGTGCGGCGTGGGCGGAGGGTGAGCTGGTTGGCGGAAAGCGGGATAGATACATACCGTAGGTAGGTGTATATAGATATATATAGATATATATATATATATGTATGTATGTATGCAAATGGAGGGGAGGGAGTTCCGGTGAGGATATTATTTTTTGGCCTTGGTTTTTGTTATTGTTTTTGTTTTTACCGCTTCTTCTGCTGGTGTGTGGCTTCTCTTGCCGCCGTACCGTCGAAGAGTGGCGCGAGTGAGGAGAGCTGGTCGTACGAGATACACACGATAGTAGATGGTCGATGCAAACGATGACCCGCGGTGGGTGAGGATTCGATACTTACTTTGGTTGTTGTTGTTGTTATCGTTGTCGTCGTTGTCGTCGTCGTCATCGTCGTTGTCGTCGTCATCGTCGTTATTATCGTCGTTGTTGTTAGTGTCGTCGTTGTTGTTGTTGTGGTTTCCTGACTGCGGACTGACTGACTGCTTTGTTGAGCGTCTCGACAAAGATATAGATCGGACGCAGAAGAGAAGATGATGAGTCCCGGGATGATGGAATGGGTGCTCGACTGGGGGTTGATGGCAATGCTGGATGTTGGTACGTTGGATGGATTTATTTATACCTTCTCTCTCTCCCCTTCCAAGTTCCTTCGCTCCTCTCGCCGGATCTCGCTGCAATCTCATCACGGGATCTTGGAACGACCGTGAGGTGAGGAGAAAAGAGGTGGCCTGCCCTTCCTTCCATCTCGAGAATTCGAGAACTCGAGAACTCGGATCGACTATCGACTATCGACTATCGACTGCCGACGATCGACTATTGACTATCGACGATCGACTATTGATTCTCGACGATCGGGCTGTGCTAAGGAGGGCCCCGAACGAAGGATATTATTAAAAGCATAGGCCAGCTTTGTGCAATGAAGATCCTCGTCCTCGGGCGCTTTGAACGAATACTATCTATCTATCGCCGGGGAATATTTTGGGAATCGGGATACCTCGAGAAGGACGGCAACGGAGACCTACCGATACCTACCGATACCTACCGATACCTACCGATACCTACCGATACCTACCGATACCTCCCTACCTACGGTACTCACTCCTCCATGGATCGAGATCCCACGCTGGCTTCAACTTCGGCTTCGGCTTCGGCCTCCCTATTCTTCTCGCCATCGCCATCGCCGTCGCCATCGCCATCGCCCTCACCGTCGCCGTCGCCGTCGCCCTCGCCGTCGATTGCCTTTCTGCCCAGCCAATCTTCCCATCTGGTGTGCCGGATTCAATTCGATTCCACTACCTATCTACTCTATTACTGTACGGTCCGGGGGCTGGCCTCGCTTACTGTCAACCTTAAATTTTGGGTCCGGGCTTGGATCAGGGTCCGGGTCGGGTCTCATCTCATTGAAAGCCACTATCGTCTTCGACCACTTCCATCGTCCAGTCCAGTGCAGTCCAGTCCAGTGCAGTCCAGTGCAGTCCGGTCCAGTCTAGTTCAGACCTCTCCGCCCATCTCCGCCCATCTCCACGTTCCATCTCCCACCTCCCACCTCCACCTTCACCTCCCACCTCCCACCTCCACCTCCACCTCCACCTCCACCGCCACCCCCCTCCCCCCCCGACCGGTCGCAGTCACAATTTTCTCGAGTCGCAATATGAGCCCGATACCAATTCAGTCTCGCCATTCCTTTGCAACTTGGGCACCCAAATACAAAAAGTAGACAGACACACACGGCTGTCGGCGCGCATTGCACTTGCTGCTGGCGCGCACGGCTCGCGACTGGACCGGCACGAGATACGATAAGATAGGAAGAGATCGGTACTAACTAACCCTTTTCAAGTTCTCGCTCTAGGGACCGTTTACCTGTTGCTGGCCTCCGCGGTCACGAATAATCCAGCTTCAATGATTTGGTATCTGCTGTACCCATTTCGAGGGTACGAAGCCCCTGTCTGCGAAAGAGCGCGATGGAATGAATCGCTAAATCGCGTTATAGAACTACCGAGCCACCCAATCTCGACAATAAACACCCTCTCCGCTCCGCCTTCACGCGATATGGAAACCATGCAGCGCGTCACCCTGCCATCACCCTCCTGGTATCCGTGGCTACCGCTGCCATCCTCATCATTCCATTCCCGTTCCTCTATACCAACAACTTCGTCAATGGGGCGTCAAACCTGCCGCATCACGTCTGGACATCTGCCCAGCCGTTCGAGGGGAATGCTGCTACCCGCCCGGATGTGGTGATGCGATCGGTTTGGGTACACGGGAGCTATATGAAGGCGTTGGAACCACACGTCCTTCTGAGCGCTCTGGAGATACAGGACGAGCTGCTGGGCCCTACGATCAACTTCAATCCTCGGAGACCGCTGGAGCAGTTTGGGCCGATCGCCCCCAGTGCGAGATTGACGCCGGACATGCGAGATTCGCTCCACGCGGTCCATGGGCTGAGCAATTCCTCCTGGTTCTTCCACTCCCCGCTGCAATACTGGTCGTGCGACGGAGAGAAGATCGCGGGGGACAGGGATATCATCCTTACGGTGAACGAACACTGTCGCCAATCCACGTCTGTCAATGTGACTTTGCGCCATTCCATCGTGTTCAGCGGGAAGCGTTTCGAGGACCATCGCCTGGTGGCGGCGGATGCGTTGGTCATCACGCTCGTGCATATGCTCGATTCTCCTGTCGGGAGACAGTGGGAGAGACAGGCGGAAGATCTGGCTCTCAAGTCAGGCGGCAAGTGGCGGATATATCCCGAAAATGGACGATCCTGGACAAGCACCTTGTACGAGTTTCGATTTCAACCACTTTCCTTGAAGGACGATATCGTCTTCGGCGTAAACTACTTCGTGATTACTCTCTACTTCCTATGGCGTATTTCGAAGCTGCGCGCTTTGAAATCCAGGCTGGGACTCCTGCTAGCCGTCCTCTCTCAGATCGGCGTCTCAATCATGTCGAGCTTCACCATCTGCGCAGTCCTGAAGATCGACCTCTCCAAGATTCCACGAGGACTGTACCCTCTCGTCATTCTCGTGATAGGGCTGGAGAATATCTTCAGGCTCATCAATGCTGTCATTACCACGCCGTCCTCATGCGCGACTCCCTTCAGAATTGGGGAGGCGCTGGGGCAGACCGCCCATGTCGCCATTGCTGGTGCCAGCCAGAACCTGTTCATTCTGTGGGGACTCTCCAAATACGTCTCGCCTCATATCAAGGCCTGCTGTACGTTCGCCGCCTTCGCGCTCTTGTTCGACTTCTTTTACTTGTTGACCTTCTTCACGGGCGTTCTCAGCATCGATGTTCGCAGAACGGAGCTGGGCGATTCGCTTAACAGTGCTGCGACACTCAGCCGGCCCACGTCTCCGCAAACCCAGCCGAAACAGACGTGGATGGGTGGTATACTAAGAGCAGAGTCAGCCTTCTCGACACGGATTGCGGGTACTATTGTTATGACGGGCTCCATTCTCATTGCGCAGTGGCACTTTTTTGACAGCGAGACCTTCTTCCAGACCGTACTCCGCATCTTCCGCGTCGCAAAGCCGCAAGCCCAATTGCCTCGCTCGTCGCAAGCGTCCCTCTTGTCTGTTGACATCCATCAAGCGAGAACGCCAACAGCCTGGCTCCGAATGCAAGATCATAAAACCGCATACGAAGTGATCCAAGTGGTCAAGCCACACGCAAACAGCTACATAGCTCGGGTCCATGATCCTCTGATTTTCGTCCTAGATGGATCGGATAGGACGCCGAATCAATTTGGAGTACGCCCCTTTCTGCCCGCCGCTTACGATTTCGCACGGAACCGCATGGGGGTCTTCATCATGACGGTCCTTGTCCTGGTCGCTGCTGTTTCGATGCTGATGAATTATCTTCTATGGGACGGCGAATCGCCCGAAGGGGAAATCGATGCTCGCCCGGAAGACGAGCCCCTCCTGAACGTCAAGACTCTACCCGCCGGTCACAACCTAGATATTGTGCTCTTGACTGCTTCACGTGACGGTGTGCTAGCGTCGGTGGGCCTGGATCGGCTCGTTCGGATTTGGGATCTGCGCAGAGGCGTTATGAGCCATGTTGTTCAGGACTACGACTCTCCCGTCGATCCGTTTCCTGTCGTCGCCATCGCCATCGATCGGGACTCGAATTGGTTGGCACTACTCTCCGGTCGCGATCGTGTGTACACATGGAACATCCCCGAGCGACGATGGGGACCCTCAATGCACGTTGTCGTCAAGGGCAAGAAGCCGGTTGCGTTCTGCTTTGGTCGCGACGAGACGGAGTTCATCGACCCGCTTATCATTGTTCGGCAAAATGGAAAGATGACAGAGCTTCACGTGGAGAGCGATAGGAGTACTGAAGTCCTCATCTGTCACAGCCCCCTTGTCTGCGTCCGACAGCATTTCGAGAAGCCGAACGCAACCTCGGCTCACCCACCGGCTCGGATCATCACCTCGTCCAAGAAAGGCTGTGTCCATGTTGCATCGCATTTCAAATCGGGGTGGGTATCAGAAGGCTTCGACATTTCGTGTCCCCCAAATGATCCGGCAATCAATTCAATTCTTCCTCTACCATCATTGAGCGCCTTCCTCGCCGTCCGTACTAGCTCGGTGGATCTTGTCGATCTCGTCACTCACAAAATCACTCACACGTTCGTCACCCAAACGATGAGACATGACAGCCTCCGCTGTTTCCATTCCACTCGCCGCAGACCGCAATGTGGGTCAGTGGGACTGGCCAGTCTTGCCATCGCCTATGCCCACGCAGAAACCGGCAATGTTATCCTCCAGTCTTACCTACCTCGGCATGAAGGAGATACCATCTGCTTCCGCGATCCATACACCCCCGGAAGCAAGACCTGCTGTCTCTGGCGCGAGACCGTCGAGCACCGCTACGAAATTGAAAGCCCCGGTGAATGGGACGCTTTGATGACTGGCCATCTGATAGGCGTCCGAAAGCGCGAACCACCGCCCAAGGAAGCGAAATCCAGTCTCCCTGACAACGCCGGTCTCCGCCGTCGAGGTGGCCCGTCGCGAACTCGCATGTCGGAGACGCCTCTCTCATGGGCCGACGACGACGATGTCTGGGAGGTCTGGTCGATATCTGGGCGCGGCGAGAGAAACGTCACGCCGCTCTGTGGTGACGCTGAGCGCGATCACCTACTGGTGAGCGGGCTAGGCCCTATGCACACGATGGGTGGACGTACGGTAGTGGTGGGGCTGGGGAACGTGATCAAGGTCCTCACGGTAGGAAACGACCACTTCGGTCGCGGCGGGAGCTCGACGGATGATAGCATGTTTGTAGGGATGACGGCTAGTCGGAGGAAGAAAGTGCCGCGCCCACGTGTCGAGACGACTGCGTAATGGGAGTGGTTGGTAGTAGAGGGTTGAGTGAGGGTGGGAGTGAGAGGGGGTGGTCTGGTGGTCTGGTGGTGATCAGGAAGCTTGTCATTTTTTTCTTCGTAATTTTTTCTATTGTTTTTTTTTTTTTTTTCTATTTATTTCGGCTGGCGTGGCGAGCGATATGATACCTTGATACCCCTTGGGCTCTCAGTTTTATTTACCTTTTCACAATCCGATGAATCAAAGCTTGTTTACATTTGTAAATTCTCCTTTCTCTCTCTCTTCCTCTCTTTATCTTTTCTTTTGTCTTTTTGCCTTTTTGCCTTTTTTGCCTTTGGGGCGATGGAGGATAACCGCTGTGTGTATGGACATTTAATTTGTGTGGATATCTCTGTGTGAATATAAGCAGGTAGCAAGGCTTTTTTTTTTTTCCCCCGAGGCAAGGGCAAGCCGGAAGGCGCTCGTTCGCACTCCAATCCTATTCTCTGTTTCTTGCGTGCGGACGCGCGCGCTCGCGGGAAATGGCCATTTCCCGTGTTTACTGTCACTGCGTGATAGGCTTTGGAAGTTGGGAGGGATGGGGAAGTGGGTCTTGGGGTGGGGGTGAGGGTTTTGGTGTGTTTGATGAGAGAGGGGAGTGTGAGAGGGAGGTGGAAGGGGGGAGGGGGAAGGGGT